GTGTGTGTGAGAGAGAGACAACCACAGGCTCATGATTCATTTTTGTCTTGACATTTATTAAGTTCATATCTGAATGTTCAAGCTAAATTGACAACAGGTAATAGACACATTACTCTCTAAATGAAAAGAAAATCACCAGCATCAGTCCGCTTTGCGAAAAAGAGGCATTGTACAACACAGATGTCTTTCACTCCACTTCCCACACACACACTAGCACATGGATGTAAGAAGCTAAACTAGGAGAGATTTAAACCAAAGTGTTAAACGGGATGAAGCAAAAACGTAATAACCATTGTCCCACAATTAAAGGTCTGGGCTGGCACTGTTCAACACAGCATATTCCTATTGAGGTGAATGAGGCTAATGTGCAAACGTAATGGCACTTAAAGATGACAGTATCGTACCTCATGTCATAATGCATAACATCACACCGTACCCGTAGCTAGACTGCACACGCACCACACTCACGAGGTGAAGGAAACACACAATGCACCAAAAGTACATGGTAAGGGTCAGAAGCAAAAATGGGACAAAATATTTGGAGATTTCACAAAACACTGACAAAAACAGCTCTCTTTATCTTCCACCCCTGACTTACAGCAGTGCTAATTCTCTTTGCAGTTCCACTTCAAACAAGCGCTGAGCACATAAAAGTGTTGATCTAAGATGAAACTTCAAAGTTCTTACCGCTGATAACCCCCATCGCATGACTTTAAAAGAAAAAAATGAGAAGGGACGAAACAGAAACTGCTTCAGATAACTCTAGACCTGTAAGACCACTGCGAGAAAAACGAGGCTACTTCACACACATGAAAACCAGTTGTACACTGGTGGGAAGACACACTTTGGCAGAAAGCATTGAAGAGAAAATATATCTTAAATATCTACATGATTCAAGCGTTCAAGTCAAACATTCCCACCAGGGAATAATATGGTGACATTTAGCCAAACCACTAAATACAAACCAAAAGTGCTTCTTTGAAAAAGGTGCTTTTAAAATAAATACAACAATCTATGTGTATCGTTTTGTTGGCATTTACGCAATTAAAATCAACTCCTGCCCTGAGAAAGACAGACGAGGAGAAAGATAAAGAAAAGCACGACATGCATGGCATTCACAGACTTATAGGATCAGTCTGGTTTATTTCAACTTGGGTCATGCAACTGTAGTTTTGATGATTTCTGTTGGTTATGGCTGGGCTGACCTCAACTAGTCAGACAATTGGACAGAGTTTAAACAAGTCATTAGCGGACGTATTCATGAAACAACACAGGATTTAAAATAGCTGCTTTGAGTATTTTTGAGAAAGGAAATGCATTCAACACATGCGTTAGTATAAACACGATGCATTTTAGTGAGAAACACTGAATATAAACAACTGTTATTTGTTTAGGAGAAAACCGGGCGTGTCAGGAAATGTCAGGACACTGGTTTGTTTTGTCTGATCAACAGTTCAAAACCTAAAGATTTTCAGTTTATTATCACATCAGACTAAGAAAAGCTACAAATCCTCACAATGGTGAAGTTTTATATTACGAAGTTAGTGGTGGCTAACATGAAAATGCTGTTTTTATAGCATAAAATAACTTATAAGATCAATGAACCCATACATCAGTGTATTAAAATGACAAAATGTACTTTGGCCAGTACTTGGGCACCACTTGGGGTCCAATCTGCTATCATGGTGGTTATGACATATGTGGCAGCCATTCACCCACTTTATAAACAGCCATTGGGTCTGGCCTACTGTAAAAACATGGTGGTGCAACATAGAGTCTGTGGAAAGTTACAGAAACACAATGTTTATTCATTCCAGGTGTTTATGCACTATTTCTGCTGATAGATCACATAAACCTTACACACTGGACTTTTACAGAGGAGCTTAAATTAAGCAATGTTGCTCATTGCAACGAGTTAATGCATTGTTGCATTAACAAGATGCTTGCCTAATTATTTTCTGTCTACTTTGTCAACTATTTGTATTAAATAACACATTTTTTCAGCTCTAGTTGACAATAATCCCTCATTACATATAAAAAGAACCGTTCACACACAAGATAAAAAGTAAAAGTTGAAGCTGGACATTTTTCTATTCATACTGACTGTGATTGATATTTTTCTATTACTTTATGTTCAAGTTCATTTTTCTGGTAGTTTGCTTCAAACCTCTGACTAAAAATCTTGAGACCCAAGTTGACAAAAACCAGAACTGTCCTTTAGGTAAACAATATGGAAGACGTACTGCAGACTCACATTCATGCTCACACGCAAACTTCCAAACCTCGATGAAGGAAGCATGTAGCAGAGGATCAGGAGCTGATGCTGGGCTAGTAACCGAAAAACAGACATCATTATTGCCTCATTTCAACAGTACAACACACACATACGATACACACGTTGCAACCTGCAAAACAACCGCCCTTTCCATACACTGGATTTATTCCAAAAATAGATATAATGTTTATATATACTGTTTACATTTATATTACGATTACATGTTACCAAGAAGAGCCACAACCTAATACAGGTTCAAATTTCACAATATTACATTTAAACAGCTTTGAGAGTGATATGAATTTGTATGTGCACATCACTGTGTGTCATGGTCATTTGCATGTGTGTATAGCTGTGTATGCATGTGTCTGTCTGTGTGTGTGCGCGCGCGCATGTGTTACAAAGGTGTGCTTTCTTTATATCTGCATACCTCTCCTTAGACCTGAGAATACACTCTTGTATTGTACCTTCGACAGAGCTCAAACACGTGCTCTCTCTCACACACACACACACACACACACACACACACACACACACACACACACACACACA